GCGAGAGTCGGTGGGAGAAAGATGAGCGGTAGTGCGTTTAATAAGCTGATAAGCCGACTTGCTGCCGAGGGTCATGATTTGTCGAACCCTGTTGATCTTAAGGACCATTGGGCGAAGCACGGTACAAATCGCTACATCACTATCAAATAGAAAAAAGAAAAAAAAGAATACATCATTTGATGCTGTTTGGGTTACTTTGCTGAGGTAATTATTGGAAGTTGGTATGAATGTATAAGCTTCAGTTTGGTAATCATGCAAAAAAAGTATGATGCGTTCTTCCATTGACATATGTGTGACGTGGCACCATTAGCAGTTTGAATAAAGGAATGAGTAAATGCAATTTGTGTAGGTAGATGCCTGAATTATTGCATCTTATTTGCATGTAAGTGGAGATTAATTAAATTTTATTTTATTGTATCGATCTTAAAGCCTTGAATTGGCAATTGAAGGTGTATTTTAAAATCTCATTAAAAAGAATCAAGTAATTTTACACTAATATGATCTGTTAGAATTTATTTCGTGCAGATATAAATTATTTGTGTCAGATTCAGTTTTTCGTTACTGTTGCGTGAAGTGTTGCAACAGTTCGTGAAACAGTTCGTAAAAACAGAAATAAACGAGACACAAATTTTAATGTGGTTCGGATACAATTGTACCCTACATCCACGGGGACCTGCAAATAAAATTTACTAATTTTTAGTTTTACGAATACAATAATAGGACTTAATCAAAATACAAAGACTCCCTCTTTGTTGACGCCGTTCTTGTATACTACGCTGAATTGTAAATCTTCAATTTGCAGCACGTCCCTTGCTCCGCACGGTTGAACTCCCTTCAACGCTGAATCCCTCAGTCGGCGGATCGATCTCCTCCCGAGATCTGTTTAAGCCCCTCTCCCGAAGAACCGATCTTCTTTTTGTATAGAAGAAGCAAACTTGTGATACTCCTTGAATCTTGGTGTCTTCACCACAAAGCCTTGAAGCCGGTATATTTTCTATGAAAATCACGTATCACGATGGAACAATAAAAACGAGAGCAAAAATATTTTCTGTGAAAAATTCTCTCGATCAAAGACGTTCCGGGAGCAGCGAAATTAAGAGCAGAAAAATATATTTTTTCTCTCCAATAAAACGCATGCTACAGCAACCAAGAAAAGAGAGATCGGCTTCTCTCCAAAACGACGCCAATAAAAACGAGAGTAAAGAAAATATTCTGCGTAAATTTTTCTCTCTAGGAAGACGTGAGATCTGAGGCGCCGTATTGCTGTATTTATACTTCTACATGTTATAAGAATCCTACAAGGAAAAAAGAGTCCATTAGGGTTAGGAAACTCTTAATTACGTAGGAAATAATATTTTCAAAACAAGGAAACTCTTTAGAAGAATAATTCCTATTATAAATCAATTAATGACAAATTAAAAGAATTAAAAGCTACAAGGACTCTTCCCTTCTTTAGCTCAGGGTATATGAAAACTTGTGGCACAAGTTTTATTAATTCTCGTACAATTAGAATCCATAGGATTCTAACAATCTCCCCCTTTGTCGTTTATTGATTATAATTATTTTGTCCCGCTGAGTAAAAAACCTGAAAATAAAACAATCAGATGATTAGACCGAAGCAAATAAAACGAAAGATCATCATCAACTCTTTTCAACAACAAGAGTGGCATCAACTGCTGCAACAGTAAGTGCCACAGTTTCAGCAACTGTTCCCACAGTAGTGGCTTTGGCAGGTGGTTCACAACGGAGTCAGCTCCCCCTGCATGTGTATCTCCCTCTGTGAATGATCCTTAGGCAGCTCCTCTTGTAAATGCATTCATTCTTCCCCTTTGCTTACTCGGCTTGATAGACATGGAAGGCGGTGGATGACAACGTGGTAAATTATCCACGTGATAAGAGACTCAGCAAATAACGTCGGCATTAGCTCCTCCTTTTATATTCTTGTGAAGCTCTGAAAATAAAACAAGGAAACCAATTAATGACAATTACCACAATAATAATAAAAAGATGGAATTCCTTCTATTTTGGATAGACACGTTCAGGTGATTAATATGGAGAGATAATTTATTTCTTCTCAAATTATCTAATGAGATAACTAAGGAAAATATGTTCCTCATATTAATACACATCTCCATAGAATTCCACTTGGTGTTGTGGACTTAGAATCCCACCGAGATTCTAACATTCTCCCCCTTTGGCATTGATTGGTCAGAACATTTACTCCCCCTAACTATATGATACATGCATGAACAAGGGTTAGCAAATTCAAAATAACATCTGCACATATAAACTGTTGCAACAGTTTATCAAACAGTTCACCAGATAGTGTAAACTGTAAATAAACCATAGTTCCAAAATAAAAGCAGATAATTCGTTCAGATAAGCACGAGATAAAAAGGATATGCAGTAGCAGAAACAACTTCTCTTCACAATGCTTATTATTTGTCCTATATTTCTGCCCAGCAACTGTCTCATGCACTGTTTCAACAGTTGTCTGAACCCCCCTGCATTCCTGCACTGTTCCAGCAACTGTCGCAACAGTTGTCGGAACTCCCCCTGTGTTCATGCCATCGTTACTGTTCTTTTCTCCTGTTCTTTTCTCCCCCTTTCTGGGCAATCACCATGCAGAGATAACTCAACATGGACTAATGATCTTGATGATTCAAGCAAGCTGTTCAAACACTTAACAAAAAGATCAAAACGAAGAGAGAATCTTGGAAGTAAGTGAGAAAAATCACTATACATAACGTGCACACAAAATCACAAAATCACAAACTCAAAACCACACGATAATTGCAATGCAAAAATTAAAGAATAGTGATATCAAATCCAACATTAAATAGCAAAGACTACAGACTTTGCCAAACTTCATAAGAAACGTGGAAATGTGAGGAGTAAGCCCAATCGATCCGGTTGCAACAAAAAAAATCAAATTTAACCGGCACATAAACAAAAATCCCGTCTTTTTTTTTTTTTTTTTGGTTTTTTTTTTTTTAATAATGCCTAATGCAAGACAAGAAGTAAACATGAGAAATAGACATGAGTGAAGAGACATATGTGAATAGGATACTGCATGGACAAACAAAACATATGGGATTTATCTTCACATTCACGATAAGCACAATCCCCAAAAATCCGACTGCCAATGCAACCAACAAACTTAATAATCCCAAGTCAAACACAAAGATGCTCTTATTAGGTAGCGTACACACACGTCTAATGGTAGCTTTTTCTCATGAAAAACAGAGCAATTAAAAGGAACGAGATTATGCTGGTCGTGCAATGTGTAGTCCCCTGGGCTTTCTAATTGAGCTTTTGTAGTAAGTGTTCGGTCAAGTGGTTTACTGGCTCGACTCAACTAGGCTTCGAACTATTCACTGACCATATATATTATAATTTATATTGGCCGTGCAATGTGTAGTCCCCTAGGCTTTCTAATTGAGCCTTGTAGCGAGTTTTCGGCCACGTGATTTACTGGCTCGACTCAAAAAGGCTTCGAACTATTCACTGACCAAATGGTTGTAGATATATATATTAGTAATAGTAGTTCAAGAGTAGCTTTCACTCATTAAAAGAGGCAGCTTTTCCCTATAAAAACATCCAACCATGACAAGACTATTCAGAGAAATAAATAAGTTGGAGCCTTTTAAGTAATCATTTTGGGAATTGGTGAAGTTCTACCCCACAAAATTTAGAAATACACGAAGTATCAAATTCACATTTGTCTCAATCATATGCAGTATGCTTAATGCAGGTCCTATATGAGATGCAAAAACATATGAAGTGTCCTACCTCTAAAAGTTGCAAGTCTGGACACACAGACTGTTGCAACAGTTCATGCAACTGCATCAGATTAAACAACATAAATTCCCAGCGATTTTCGCAAGGAATCAAATTTCTGTGCATCAAGGGTTTTTGCAAAAGCATCAGTTAATTCATTCTCCGTTGCAGCATAATCAATTGAGACAACCCCCTTTTCGACCAAGCCCCTTATGAAAAGATGACAAATATCAGTAAGCTTAGTTCTCGAATGCTGAATTGGATTCATAAACTTATTTTTCACATACAAATTATCACAATTCAGATTACCAAGTTTTTTATTCCCCAAACTAGCTTTGTCACCAGAACTGTTGGAACAGTTAGTACTATCATCACATGAGTTTAAAGAAGTAATGGCAGATAAACAATTAAGATCAGACTTCTTTACCCAGATTTTTTGTTGAGTTTTATTCACTAAATCAACCTTTATCTTGGGTTTTTGAGACGACACAAAAATGTGATCAATTTTAGCGGAAAGTGGTGAGCGGGCCATTATTCTTTTAACCATTTTCAAGTACTTAAAACACCTGGGTCGTATATGACCAGGAACATGACAAAAATGACAGGTAGGAACAAAAACTTTTCTTTGAAATGGCTGTGTCGGTGCAACTGTCGCAACAGTTTGTGAAACAGTGGATTGTTTAACAAAATTGATTTTTCTTTTTGGATCTTCTTTCTGTTTCAATGCATCATTAGATAGCTGATTACGTCCTATACCTGTACGACCGCAATTCGGCTGATTTTGGTTCAAAATTTCATTCAAAGTTACCCTACCAGTATTAAACTTAGAAATAGCATCTTGGGTTTGAGCAAATTTAGCCTTCAAGCTATCTGTTTCTCTACTAGCAGAAATAACATTTTGTTCAAGAGTAGAAATTCGTACCTTCAATACTTTGTTTTCCTCAATTAGGACAAGCTTCTCTTTTTCTAAGAATTTATTTGACTCACACACCTGAAGAAATTTTTCGTACATCTTTTCATAGCATTGCTTTATTTCTTCCAAGGATGACACGTCATCATCGCTGTTGTTTTCTGAATCCCAATCATCACCTGCAAGATTTAACGGAGTTAATCCTTTATCAGATATTGAATGCAACTTATCATACCTAGGTTCTGTCTGAACAGTCTGTCCAACTGTTGCAACAGTTTCAGCGACAGTCTGTTTGCACTTGTTTATCTGAGTAGTTCCTTCGTAGGCCTCTTGTAGAACATCCCATGCCTCCTTTGCTGATTTGCACATTGATATCAATTTGAATTGATCTTCATCGATACAACTCAAGATAGCATTGGTTGCCTTGGAATTATAATCTGCTATTCGTACTTCTTCATCAGTCCACTTCTCTTTTGGGGTTTGAATGATCTCGTGTGACTCATTCATTGAGGTAGGATGTGTCCAACCAATTAGAATCGCGCGCCAGGCCCATTCATCAATAGATTTAATGAACATCTTCATCCTTATTTTCCAATCAGAGTAGTTCAATTCACCCAAGACAGGTGGTAGGAATGCGCCTTCACGATGATTATTCATGTCTGCACAAAAAAAATAAAAAAGAATTAAATCCCAAAATCTCACTAAGTGTATCTAGTGACAGGCTCTTGATGCCAATTGTTAGAATTTATTTCGTGCAGATATAAATTATTTGTGTCAGATTCAGTTTTTCGTTACTGTTGCGTGAAGAGTTGCAACAGTTCGTGAAACAGTTTGTAAAAACAGAAATAAACGAGACACAAATTTAATGTGGTTCGGATACAACTGTACCCTACATCCACGGGGACCTGCAAATAAAATTTACTAATTTTTAGTTTTACGAATACAATAATAGGACTTAATCAAAATACAAAGACTCCCTCTTTGTTGACGCCGTTCTTGTATACTACGCTGAATTATAAATCTTCAATTTGCAGCACGTCCCTTGCTCCGCACGGTTGAACTCCCTTCAACGCTGAATCCCTCAGTCGGCGGATCGATCTCCTCCCGAGATCTGTTTAAGCCCCTCTCCCGAAGAACCGATCTTCTTTTTGTATAGAAGAAGCAAACTTGTGATACTCCTTGAATCTGTGTCTTCACCACAAGCCTTGAAGCCGGTATATTTTCTATGAAAATCACGTATCACGATGGAGCAATAAAAACGAGAGAGAAAAAAATATTTCTCTGAAATCTTCTCTCGATTAACAAGACGCTCCGTGAGCAGCAAAAATAAGAGCGGAAAAATATAATTTTTCTTCTCCAACAAAAGGCGTGCTACAGCAACCAAGAAAAGAGAGATCGGCTTCTCTCCAAAACGACGCCAATAAAAACGAGAGTAAAGAAAATATTCTGCGTAAATTTTTCTCTCAAAGAAGACGTAAGATCTGAGGCGCCGTATTGCTGTATTTATACTTCTACATGTTATAAGAATCCTACAAGGAAAAAAGAGTCCATTAGGGTTAGGAAACTCTTAATTACGTAGGAAATAATATTTTCAAAACAAGGAAACTCTTTAGAAGAATAATTCCTATTATAAATCAATTAATGACAAATTAAAAGAATTAAAAGCTACAAGGACTCTTCCCTTCTTTAGCTCAGGGTATATGAAAACTTGTGGCACAAGTTTTATTAATTCTCGTACAATTAGAATCCATAGGATTCTAACAACTAGTATATAAGAACATTCCATGCAACAAGAATTATCAGAAATAGATTGGATACATATATTATATATTAACTTTTACTAAGAAAAATATATATTTTTAAAATGGCGAAGTTCTTTGCATCTTTTTTGGCTATTATTATCTGCTTCGCCCTAGTTTCTGGTATGATATGTACTAATACTACATTCACCCATATAAAATAAAATTCTGAATTGCATTATTTATACATTTAATCATATTTTCATGCACAAATTTACAAAAATTAAGTCTTTATGTTAAAAATTTTATATTAAAAGAAATCACTCATACCTAATCTAGCTACCTGAGAATATACCAGTTTATTCTATGTTACACTCGATAAATTTTATCGAATTATAGTGTTATTTTTCTTATAAGAAAGATAGTTACTAATCCGCATACGTATGTTTATTATTTGTGGTTTGCATAAGTTAATTAATTAATTAATTAATTTATATTTAAAACGGTGGAAATATAATGCAGGTTGTTTAGGGCAGCATCGACGGCACATATGCTCGTTTGACCTACACGGTCAACGCTGCATATCCGGCGATCCAGATTCTTGCACCAGTATTTGCAAAAGCACTGGCGTCGGTGGCTTCGATTTCGCCGGTGGAATTTGTTACACAGATCTTTACGATAAAACTAATACTTATTGTACTTGTAGTGTTTATTGTTGAGGCTCAAATTCAGACCCCTAATTAATTAACTAAATAAATATTTATTGTAATAGTTAAGGAAATTTTATTTTTAAGGTCAATTCAGACCAAAATGTTTGATTGGCATGTACTATTAATATAAAATATCCGAAAAAATCATTTCGAGATCTCGGCAATCCATTAAATTTAAAATATAATAAATAGTGCAATGTCATATATAACAGTATCTCTCAATTCAAAATTGGTTTAAAATATTTCTCAAGAAACAAAAATTGATAAAAATGGAGGTGAAGCCCTTGTCATATTTTTTGGCTATACTTATCTGCTTCGCCCTAATTTCAGGTATGATATTCATACTAACTACATTTACCTGTAGAAAATCATTTTTTTCGGGGGCCCTCACATTTCGGTATGTTCGGCTCGTATTTAATCCGCCTAGGGATGGGTCGGTTTATTCTACACCGATAAATTTTATTGAATTATATATCATATTATACATGCGTATAGATCAATTTTTTTTTTTTGATTGTATTTAAATTAATGGTGAAAAACTATTTTGTGTATTTCATCAAGTGTAGGAATATAATGCAGGTTGTTTGGGGCGACAAATTTGCTCGTTTGACCTACCCGGTCAAAACTGCGTACCGGGGAATCCAGATTCTTGCACTAGTATTTGTAAAAGCAGTGCTGGGGCTTTTGATTTTGCTGGTGGAATTTGTTACACAGATACTCACGACCAAAAAAAATATTGTACTTGTAGTTATTTCTGTTAAGGTCAATTCTAACCCCAAATTACCCTAAATAAATATTTGTTGTAATAAATATTTATTTGTTACAGATCTCTCTCTCTCTCTCTCTCTCTCTCTCTCTCTCTCTCTCTCATGATGAAATACTCAAAGAAGAAAATTAATTATTTACTATAAAAAATAAAAAATAAATATCAAAAATTCTGACTGGTTTTCGCAAAGAACATATGAATTGGAATGTGTTTACCCTCCGACGGAGATGCTTTCTGCTTCTTCTTAACTCCACTCTGCCTCGTTTCATCCTTTTCGAATAACCTATAACAAAAACACAATTTATTATTTTTTAACATCGTAGGCTTATATATGTATGTCTATATATCGAATTGATTACCGTTGCTTAGGCTTGAGAATTGGGTTACGATTGCTCGATTTTTCTTCATCTTGCAGGCTTTGAGCAAGATGAAAATCGAAATGCTCTTGTCTTTCCTCAACAAAACTGGGAGGCAGTTCAGTTCCACAAACAGAGCACTCGTAGTCGTTTAACCAAAACATGGCTTGTTTTGTATTTATTGAAGACATAATTGACTCATCGTTGACAACCTACGTAAATGAATAAAAAAAGAAAAAAAAAAGTTTGTACTTATTTCCGAGTTTTGATAGTCAAAATAATAGAAGGAGATTTAGATTTAGTACAGTGTCTTTGAGGTCAAAACTTCCACTAGTTTCTGCTTCATTGAGGCGATGACATGTGTCGGCTCGATCAAGATCCGGGATTTGAGGAGTATTTACGGGATTACATGATTCGCTTGGGTCGTGTATATCGAAGGCTGAAGTATTGTTACGAATATTGGATTCTGTGACTATGAAGTTGGAAAGTGTTTTTTGTTTAGCATCAACTGCAACGCCTTCGTTGAAGTGTGACATACGCAGTCCTAGAAATAGATAAACAGCTCAACGTTTCGAAAAAATGAAATAAAAATCTGAAAAAGTAAATAAACAATTCAAACATAAATGTCTTACCGATGAGTCTCAGAGACACAGGGAGTTCAGCCTTGAGAAGCTTTGTGGCATGTTTAAGAATATCCTCAGTTGAGCAAATACAATTTGGTAGAGTCACTGCTCGAGTTCGAACCTGCCGTGCTTATATATTTTATATATATATACAATAAACTCTCGAAGAATTCATACGCTCAAAATTGAGGGCATACAATACCTCAAAACATGTTGTTTTCAACTTCAGTGTCAAAGTTCGTCCTCGAAGGCCTTCTTTATTCAGGTCAGATGAAAGATTTTCCGAAAGATCGACTGCAAAGATGTATTTTCCTCGATTAATTTGTTTATATGATTTTTTTGGAAATTTAGGAATTTTGGTTTTAAGCATTTCTTGTTCGTTACCTAGTTTCTGGTGAATTAATGTCTCGTCTTCGGTGGGTGAAAATGTTCTCTCGTTACTCATACTTTTTCTCTGAGTCACTTCAGGTGTATCGGTCCTACCAATCCCCAACCCGACAGATAAGAAAAAATCTGCAAAATCATGCAGACGTATCAGTAACAAACTTTTCATTACATCTGATTTATACTGTTAGAGAATATGCAGAAGTAGGTAACCAGTATCTTGTTCTAATCAAGTTTGTGTAATATAATTTTTGGATCTGAGCAGCTTATGAAGTCAGAAATTAGAAAGTCAAGATCACCGATATTTGTACTACAAACCTGCTGATGAACGAGAAAATAGCGCAGAGATGAAACTTCTTTTCTGCAGCATTTCCTCGCATGTTGTGATTCCAAATACTCCGTTCAAAATGTTTTCGGTGACTTTACCAATGCCTCCAATCTACGAATGGAAACTCTTCAATATAAGGATACGAGATGTTTCAAAACGAGCACACCAATAAAAATAAATTGGAAGAGTTTACCACAACAATATCAAGAACGATTGGAATAGTACCTTCCTTATAGGTAGTGAGGATATAAATGTCACGACAGCTGCACGTTCATTTGGTAACACAAACTGGCCGTTTGGCTTATTGATGTCTGAACAAACCTGATTTAAAAAAAAATGAAAAACACATAATTAAATAAAAATTAAAATGTAAACTACAGAGATCAACATACGGTGGTGACAGATAGATTAGTGTGTGCTCGAGTAAAAATCTTGTAATTTATGAATAAAATAAATATAGTCCTTAGCCATAATGCGCGAACACCTTAGCAAGCAAGCGATTTGGCGCTACCCCAGCACTGCATGTTAGTCCAGTCTCCTTGTGAACACTTTCTCTGAGCTCTTCAGCCACCTTAGAAAGCATAATCAAACGATTTCACTATCTGAGTAAGACGAAAAAATAGAAAAAACTACAGGTACATGAATGGGGAAAAAAACGATGACAAGGACAAGACACAAATGAATGTCTGATAACATATAGTTCATGTTCTAACATACTTCTCCAGAAGTCATTCCCTTGTCATTGCAATAGTTTGTTATGTCTAGGTATGCCTCGTCCAAGCTTGCAGCTAAGAAGTTGGGATCATACTTCTCGTAAACTAAATAAAAAGCAAGTGAATCAGAGAATTCATCGAGCAAAAATAATTTTAATTCCGTATCAAAGAAACCACGGGTGAAAGCACAACCTTTTCTCGTTAAGTCACTATAGTAAGTGTACTTCTTGAAGTCCGTCGGTACAAAAATCAGTTCAGGACACAATTTACGTGCAATAAATCCAGGCATTGCAGCTCTAACTCCAAACTTCCGTGCCTGAAAACAAAAAATTACGTCTCAAAGTAATCGGTAATAATTACTAAGCTGTTCAGAAAACCTTCAAGGTCAACTCGCGGTCAACAATATTAACCTCATAATTAGCTGTCGAGATCATGGACATGCCACCGACAGCCATTGGCTTGCCTTTTAGAGACGGATTACTCAGCGTTTCAACAGCTGCGTAAAAAGCATCCATATCCACATGTAACCAAATTCTCGACAAATCACGCGCGGCTTCCAGTTCTAGAATCCTCTTATCGGAAATCTGTAAACGATATTAAAAGTATCAATTAAAACTGTTCATATTAATCCAATTTTTTTGTCACTATAATCGATGGTCTTCCCCCTTACGACTTCACAATCGAGCCCTTTACAAAATGAATGAAACTATACATTGAATACTGAATACTAATAACGATAACCGTAATAAAATCCAATTTCTCGTAGATGCACAGTGGAACAAAAAACCAATGTGAGACGACAAGCATATTAGGCATATCGATCAGAAATTTCTACTTATTCGATATTTTTTTCTTCGTCTATGTCGAATTTGAACCGAACATTACCGTTTGATGATGTGATAAATCATGCGGAGTAAGCTTGGCAAGCTGCGCCTTCATACTATCGACTTTCTGCTTCATGTAAGCTTCTTTCCTTTCCTCATTCTGAAAGTACTTGGACCCTTTGCTCATTTCATAAACTACTCTCTGCACTTTTTCCTTGTCCACTCCTTCCATACCTAGTATAAATCAAAACCCTAGAAGCTCAATCGAACAATTACATAACAAAATCTAAATTGAAATCTCAATTGAGATAAATTTTAACAGTAATCGAACAATTTCATGTTTCGAACTAAAAAATAATAATAATTACCTGCTTTAGCGTTGGTATAAACCGTATTATACGATTGCCATGGACGAGCGGAATCGTCCCCGGAAATTGAATTTTCAGTCGTCTCCATTTCTGTTTTATTTTTCTTCGAATTAGGGATTCTGGGTGTTGACAACTGAAAATTGGGGAAATATGTGAAGTTGACGGAGGGGAAATTTTAGAAGGAGGCGCGAAAAATAAATAGTTCAATTTATAAGGGCGGAATGTATACTATCTATATTTGCAAATGAGGACCTTAAATATTAAAAAAAATATTTATCAAAAATTAAAATTTAGAGAAATAAAAAAGGGGCATTCCGAGAATCGAACTCGGGACCTCACGCACCCAAAGCGAGAATCATACCACTAGACCAAATGCCCACTTATGTTTCTACGTTGACTAACTATTCTATGTGTTTTGAAATGGAAAAATAAAAACTAACGTACACAATGGGGCATTCCGAGAATCGAACTCGGGACCTCTCGCACCCGAAGCGAGAATCATACCACTAGACCAAATGCCCTGGATGCTTATTTCTTCTATTCAAAGTGATTTAATCAATATTAACATTCAGATAAAATGCGCAAATGAAAAATTGAAAGGGGCATTCCGAGAATCGAACTCGGGACCTCTCGCACCCAAAGCGAGAATCATACCACTAGACCAAATGCCCTCAATGATACAACTGTAAACAAATAAAGAATTCCAATACTACATCAAGCAAATGTACAGTGATGATACTTTTTTTTTGCACTCGATGTATAGTGATAATACTAATAGTCTGCATACAAGAGGAGAACAAATGCAATCACAGCATAGATCAAGGAGGGTCCAACATTTCTCAAATCCATATTATTAATATAGAAATGTAAAAAAATTGTGTATAATAAATAACATTAACGGCCCTCCATAATTTTTTCAATAACATTAACAGCTCCCCATAACTATCTATGACATGCAGATATGAGACCGTAGTTTTGCCTATGAATACGTAATATGTAGCCCCTCGCTTACGAATTTCGCAACAATTATCACTTTTAATCATCTAATTCCAATATATCTTATTCTCCTCGAAAACAAGGTTTTTTTTCTTTAAAACGAAAAAAACGAAATCTGCTACAAAATGTTGTCATTTTTAATGTACAGTTCACAAACACAACAAATAATTTACACATAGCCACTTCTCTGCATAAATTTGGAAAAGAAAAAAAAAATTGCAAAACATATAGTTGCTATTTCACAATGCAAATGTCATAATTTCGGTTATGATATTCGATCCTTGAGGAGGTGAGCAGCAAAAATCAAGAGCTCGACCATCTCAAATCCAGCACCCGAAACAAAATCCATTTTCTCATCGTACGATCCATCCGTTTCACCGCACCAACTTATCGGTAAAGAGCTTCCAAGTGCAGTCTTCACTAAATTCGCTTCCACTATTATTCGCTCCAAACTTTCCATACTATTCTCACTTTTCCCTTCCCCTAATTCCTTCACCTGTTTATATATTACATCAAACATTTAAACACGTTTATCTCATGGCAATTTTATGTTTTTTGTGTGTGTGTGTGTGTGTAATTTAATCTTATTTGAGTAATCACCTCCAAAAGCGAAATTCGAAGTCTCCTAACTGAAGAAAGTAGATGCTCCATACTTTCTAGGCTCTCCTTAAGTGTTGCATTTTCAATCTTCATCCTGCACGTAAGTAAGATGCAATATTTCTTTATTGTTAATTATTATCATTAAGCAAAACCGTTTTTAGTATGTCTACAGACCTTGCAAAATCCATGTGATGACTTGGCTTTTCGTAATCATCCGAACCTCCAACCCAGCGTGTTAAGTAACTTTTCTTCAGCAAATTTTTCAATCTTCCGTCTTTTTCCTGTACAGTTCTTCTTTCTACAGTTTCACCCAAATGCTTTCCTTCGTTCATCTTTCTGCACGAAATTGCATCAATCAAATAAACGACCCATGAATTAAGGAACTCGTAAAAAAATATTCAATTAAAAAAAATCGAAAATGAAAATGAGAACGAGAACGTACTCTTGGAGAGTATATAGTTCCTGCTTCAGTTGTGCTAGTTCCATAAGTGCTTTAACCTTTTCGTTTGTCACCTAAAACGATTAAAAGATAATCAAATATCATTTAATCAATGCAAGAATAGAAAAACGAACAAATGTTTTCCCTCTATACATTCAAAAGAGACTTTCAAACTGTACATATATCTTTAAATAAAAAAAAAAAAAAAAAAAAAATTGTCTAATGCTCGCTCGATATTACCTGCAATAAATTTCTCTGAAGTTCCTCGATTTTCTTTTGCAAAGCTGCACTTACATTCCTCTCTAGCAGATGTCTTTCATCTTGCTGAGATAATAGTAATAACGTCTCAACCTAAATAACAACAAAACATCTATATATAAATAAATATGAAACTTAAAATGCTAAAATAAGGTACGAGGTTTTCTAGAACAACCTTCTCATGCAATGCCATGGCAAGTGCTTCAGAGGTCTCACCACATTCAGAGGCACTCGAAGTAAAAAAAACGGGATCATTAATCTGAAAAAATAGTGAGATAAAATAAAAAAAAAAAAAATAGTACTTGCGTAAAACCCGATTGTAGCTATTTTGTGTATAAAGCAAAAGAATGTACCTTGGTGATTGAAGCTGGACCGGAATCAGCATTAATATGAACATCTCTGCATTCGTTCTCGTTGGATTCTTTTTCTTGTACTGATGAAGATTTTGAATTACATTCTTTTTCACTCATTTCAAACTCGTTGATTTTCTCGATTACTGAATCGGTAATTGATTTCAGCTCTGAATAACCCTCATCGAGCAAGTTTGTGATATCAATCTTGTACTGAGAGTGGTCATTGAGTAATGCTGATATCTGCTTCTTGATTTTATCTTCTGAAAAGATCTGTACATTAAACTCTCTGAAATTAGTACCGACTATAAACTGTAAGTTAGGAGTCGTTTATCCAGAATTTAAAAGGGGAAAAAAGAAATCTTACTTTCTTTTTCTTTAAATTGGAAACTTTCTTCTTCAAATGATTTTCGATTTCCATTCCCTAATAAACCATCACGAATTGACAAGACGATGAACAACGGAAAAGGCATGTAATAAGAGGAGAAAAAACAGAGAAACTCACCATTCGAAGCTTGTTCTGCAAATTATTCGCGCTTTTCCTTAGAGTGTCAATTTCAGCTTCGAGAGAATTCTGTCTGAAGAGAAGTTAATCAGAAATTAACTCAAATGGGAGAAATGAAACATCTGAAAACTAATCATTAATTAATCATTAGCTCTATAGCACACTTTTTTATAAGAACTTACAATGTAATCAGATGTGGAAGTATCATCATCATTTTGGAACCTCCACATTTCATCTGAGTCATCTAATATACACTCGCATTTCTCTTCCCAACTCGCATCAGTAAAAATATCCAGGGAACTTTGTCTGATGTGGTAAAATTTATCGATAACCTGTAATAAACAAGAAACAAATAAATTACATTATCAGGACATGCTTGTCATTTTTCATTACAGTAAAATATTTGTTAAAGATTTCTTTCTTTTCCAAATGGGTATCATCTGGTATCAGATAGGTAGTAAGAATCTAAACGAATACCTGTTTGAAAATCTTATTCTGCCTTTCGTGGTTTTCTAAATCGGTTTGGAGAGTTGTGACTAGTCTTTTTTCTTCAACAAGTGCGGCAGTCAGCTCTTCAACCCTGTAAGAGAAAAGAGTATGTTTTAATCTATTGCACAAAAAGAAAAAGAAAAAAAAAAAGTAATTTACCAGAACAGAAGGCAATCAAAGCACGCACGCTTTGATATGATAAACATCAAAGCAAGCTGCACTATATACTAGGATTGGCACAGTGTCCAAAATAGTATATTTCTCCAACTACATGTTAGTTGTAAAGACCAGGTAGTGCGGGCTCCTGTGAGAAGTCTTTTTT